CTCTGCACCTTTTTTTTTTTTTTTTTCTAAAATGCAAGCAGAATATTAAAGATGTATGAGATGAATGTGCTCATTGTCTCCTCCGGTGACCGCTGCATCTCAGCTCATCACGCTTACATAGTAATTAGGTGCTGGGTTTGGAAATGTCACCGCTCTGTTCATTTTCGCCTGGATAAAATACGCTCTCGGTGCCTTCAAGGATCTGAAATTAGGGGCCTGACACTCTTATTTATGAGTTATTGGATGTACAAAGCAGAGATCCATGAGAAAAACTGCAGACGTTTGAGTACACAGATGCATTCCTGCCATCATTAAAACTAACACAGACGACCTCTGTGGACAAAAAAGAAACATACAAATTTGTATGATCGAAATTGCTCAATGTGTTTCCTATTTTCTTGTCTGAACATCAAAATGGACAAAAATGACCGCCAATTGTGATGTGCTGACACGTTGTGTAATCAAAATTTGAGGAAGAATCAGCCATCAGAGCAGCGAAAGACCCAAAACCCAAACAGTCTGTACCCACTCAGTGTTGTTTAAAAGTTTCTCCATATACTTGTGTATATAAACACTCTGACGCTAGAATATGATTTGGCTTTGAGGAGACTGGCACAAATGACTTTTGGTGACTTACATCATGCTTGGGGAGTCTAATCACAGACACTCTTGTCATATCAAGCAGAAAAAAAGTCCACTTCACAGCGAACTGCGTTTCAACAAAAAAGAGAAAAAATAGGAGGGAAGGGTAAACAAGCTCGACGTTCCACAGCCACCGCAGAATTCATCATTCATGGAGAAAAAAAAATAAAAAAATACCTCAAGCCCCAAAAGAAGAGCTAATTTAATCCGAGAGGAATAAAACTCCATTTCATAGGAGTCGTTCATTCAGAACACTCATATTTCCACTGAAGAGAAACCCCCGGCTGAAACTCGAGCAGACACTTTTCGGAAGGAATGCATTCGGTGGGTTGAGGGCCAAAGCTCGCCCTGTAATTTGTGAATGTACAGAAATGTGTGAGCGCCACAGCTTCTCTAAAGATAGAAATCTTTGTCTTATGTCATCGCCGAACCTCAAACTATTTCTAATTGCCCCCCTCTCCCTACCTCTATCCCCCTCTTTTTTTTTTTTTTTCCAAATGAATAACTACCCCTTCAAAAGGCTTATGTGTGCCACGTCTGAACTGAAAATAGCCTGGGAGTTTACACAAGCTAATAGATCAAATTCAGTAAAAAACAAGAAACTTTGAAAGCAGCTTCATGTATCCGAGACTGTCCCCGGCTTCAAAGTGACTTTTAAGTGGCGCTGAAAGCTGTGTGGGTGGCATTTAGAGGCAGGTATATATTGCAGACCCCAAAGGCTTTCACTGGTTTCTCTGCTAAGGGTGATCACAGTCATATTAGTCTTTACATTCTGACTCATTACACAAGAAAACTTAAAGTACCTGGGGTTTTTACTTCACCTTTAAAGCAGAATAATGATGGAAAGAGTCAATGCAAGAACTCCGAAATTAGATCTTTGGTTCAAATTATTAAAAAGAAAAATGTTTTTAGATGATCTTTCCAATAGTTTGTCAATTTTCTGATACAGTAAGTTCTTGGTTTTTTTTTTTTTTGCTTTGCTGGAAAATTCAAATGGAGAGAACGTTTTAATCACAAGTTTTCACGTTGTAACCACTTGTTAACAATGATGTGATGCTCTTGTCATTTGCAACTGCAGGCTCCATTTCCCTCTTTATTCTTTTAATGGCAAGTAACCTATATGCCACGGCTTATTTTTGAGGTGGGTCCGGGGGTTTCACATGTCCTCCAGGAGCTCTTGTCTTGATTTCAGGCTCAGCCCACTCGGATCATTAAAAATCGTTCAGGGGCACGGCGGGCTCCGTCCTCAATGCCTGTGCGGCTGAAACCGTAGAAACTGCGTGCTGAAATGCGGAGGTCTAAATGTGACAGGCGCCCGGAGCGCACATTACGGCTGAGTGGGGTGAAGCTGGAGCATGCGGTCACGTATTAATAATGAACTACGGCAGGAGGGCGACTAAAATATCAGCAGCATTGTCACTGTCCCAGTTGAGCTGTACTTGAAATAGATGCTGCATGATAGGTGATCTGAATGGACATGATGCTTTTTATTTTTTCCTTTTTTTTTTTTAGATTAAGGGTTGCAGACTTGATCCCTGAATGCAGGGAACGCTTCAGAAAGTTTTGCAAGAGGTGGCAAGTCAGCAATCTTTGTGTGGCAACACACTGAATATATTAGAGCAGCCATTCTTTCCTCAGAACTCCCCCTGTGGGTACCGCTGATGTGAACTGACAATGTGAGCTAGAACTGAGGGACATTTCTGATTTTTGATCTTTTTTAACTTTTCTTTTTCCCTTAATTTGAATCAGACTCGTTTCAAGTATTTTGTCGTGTTACTCAAAATCCTATTTTGCTAAAATCCTATTTAGCAGTAGGGCCATCCAGGAAGGGTCAGCGGCTCAAGGCCCACCATTCATTGGCTTGAAATAATTTAAGATGATGTCATTTTGTACCTGTACACTTTCTTGCACAATGTTTTTAGGTGAAGTATTATTTCATAGCAGTCAACAGAGAAAAGATTTAATTTAATAATATGACCACGACGTGGTAAAACTAGGTAATTAAAAACAATTGGTATTGTTTTTAAAGCAGTTTTATACCAGCAGATAATTTGGTTTGCATATTAAATTTTCTACTGGCAGAAGAATCAGATATGTCAGAAATTAAGAGAGGGACAGTACTTTGGACAATAACTGTATCACACGCTCACATATATTGACAGATTTTCAGCAATTTAGTAACAGTACCAGGTTGTTTAAAAGAAAATAAAAAAAATGTAACAAAGCTAAGTTTTCTTTTTTCTTTTTTTTTTTTTTTAAATGAGATGTAAGTTTCTTATTTCTGTCACATAAAACTGAAATTCCTTTCTGATTTGGTTTTGGTGTCTCGCCTCTGAAGGACCACCATCTGGTCACTCATTAAAAAACATTCTGGAGGGCATTCCTGTCAGTCAGACAGCTCTGACGTAATTTTTCCACATAAGCAAATTAGTAGGTTTTAAGAAATTGTTTTTTTTTTTTTTTGGATTTTGTTGCAACAATAACCAACATAGAAACAAAAAGGTGTTAAGTTTGTAGCTCTAGTACAATACTAATTTAATTTAATCAACTAAAACATCTTATGTGTTGTATTTCTTTTCTTTCTGTTTTTGTCAGAAAATCATATTTTTAATCAATCAATTAAACTTGATTGATTTCTTTACAGTAAAACTTAATCTTAAAATTACCAAATTTTTTTTTATTTTATTTTAATTCATTTCCCCCACATCCAATCACACTGTACCTCTGACGAGACTAACGGGTGATTAAAGAAATTTTAAAGCCAATTTTTGGCGTCTCTTCTCGCCACTTAATTTATTCTCCTGCAAGTAAACAACTTAAAAGCCACCACGCACGCGCAAAACGCGCGTGAGCACGACGACAACGGGGCCCCATAATTACACACCCTCTGATGCAAAGCATAGATGCGCTTAAAAACATGTTCGAATGATTTATTTCTTTATTTTTTTAATCTGGGATCAAGATAAGAAAGTTGTTTGTTTCTCATCATTAATAGGAAAAAAAAGAGAATTACAAATAACTAAATAAATAATTTCGCCGTCCAATATTTACCAAATTAATGCTGACCATTTAAATCCACAATAACAGTTTCTAGAATTTACACTCAAATAGTAAAGATGTACTGATTATTTTAGTAGAAATTGCCAACTTCGGCTCCGTTAAGGACAAAAACTCATATCAAATATGAAGTCGAAAATGTGGTCCCCATTCATTTTAACGCACAGTAGGTGTTATTTTAAAAGCTTTAATGATATTTAAAACTTCCAGCAAAAAAAAAAAAAAAAAAAAAAAGAGAATAAAAACAATATTTGCCTTTTGAAAGGATGGGGGGGGGGGGGAGTGCGTTTTCAGCATGAAAAACACCTTAAAGTGTTGTATTTAACTTTCTGGGTTTAGTCTAGAATATTTCAGGTTTCCGACTCTCTCGCAGGCAGATAAAGGTTGCCCTCCTCTCTGTGCCTCAGTAAGTGTGAAATATGTGGCTCAGACTGGTCGAGCTGACAGCGATTGAAAAGGCAAACGCGCCAACTAGTGTCAGAAGGACGTATGGCCTCGGAGTTTTGCAGGGTGTGCCGTCATTTCATGCAACTTTTTGAGTTCCTAATAATTTAAGCCTCTGGCGTACACAGACACATGCAATTATAAATGGGTTGCGTGTTTGATGTGGAGGCAATTAAGAGACCATTGCACGCTTGTTTTAATTTTCTATATTTAATTCAAACCAGGTAATTAACGCGATAAGAATCTGCCCGAAACCCCAATTTTGCTTTATGAAAGTTTTTATTTACTTGGAGAAGCAATGGAGCCGCCAGACACGGCTGATGGCTTTTCAAGATGAGTTAGTGAAATTAAAACCACAGGTCTGTGAGAGTTTTTTTAGATAGACGACAAACAGATCAAATAAAAATGATTTAAAAGAAAAAAACAAGTCAGTGACATGGGATGGAATAAATCAACGTGAAGAGAATAAAGTTTAAGATATTTAATTAAATGTTTTGTTTTCCTGTCGCAGCAGTTGCGTTGTATGGACTCCATTTTTAATACATCAGATCTAAATCTGAGACCATTTTAACACCATTAAGTCCATCAAATTTTATGTGCATCACATTTATCTTATTGCTTTACGTTATCAGCTGTGCGTAAAAAAAAAAGAACTATAATAATTCATAACTTATAAGAAAACTATTTACCCATGTAGTCTACAGCTCACGGAGAAGAGCAGATATGTATCAATAATTGAGCCGGTGTAGTATGTGACAACGGGGCAGATCCGGAGAAGAAGCGACGCACTTTGATTGGTGCGCCAAAGCCCAACCCAGCGCACTCATTGGCTGAACCCAGTCACCAAAAGCTGAAATGAGTTGTGTAAAAGTAATATCGCGGCACTCTGCAGCCTGCTCAGCCACAAGTCTCCTTCTTTGCGCCCCATAAAGGATAACTTTGAAAGGAAATCCAGCTGGAGCGACGGGGAACCGTTCCTTTTTATTTCAGGATCTCGCAGATCCAATCGGGAAAATTACTTTTACGCACGAACAAAGGACTGCTGCAGTTTGATTGCTTTTATTCGAGTTCAGGACATTCAAGTTAGATATATTTTTCTCTCTCTCTCTCTCTTTTGCTCAGCGGTGATGGTAGTTTTATGGTGATATTTAGAAGTTGCGACAACCGCTGAGCTGGACTCTAACTTTTACATGTATCGTGGCTGGATTATCGTTTTGTTCCAAAAATATTTAGGGGGATTTTTTCCTTAGTTTGGTGTTTTTAACTGAGAGTTAGAGTGCTCTGTGGTGTTGATGTATTGTTTACACGCGGCTGAAAGTATTCAAGTGTGCGGTAGATCCGAGCGCAGATAGAAAAGTCCAACCCTGCGCAGAGTTTGGACAGCGTCAGCTTGTTAGATACATATATGCAACTCTGATGTTCTTCAGGATGAGACATTGTGGGTTGCTGATCTAACGCCAGTCAGCAGAGAGTATTGTTATTTTTTTTTATTATTATTATAATTTTTTTTTTATTCAATCAGTGGAACTTTTTTTCGCCCCCCTTCGCGTTCGCCTCCATCCTTTGAGACCAGCGACGTCTGGACCAGAAAGAGAGACACGAACTCCCCCCAATAACCTGAGTTTGCCTGTCCTCCAGAGACTTTGACACAACCCCAGTCAGGTGGCGCTGACCCAAGCTGTTGTGATGCATATTCCCGTAGAGCCGCCCACCACAAGACGGTTCACACCGCCCTCCACGTCCTTCCCCTGCAGTAAGATCGGAGACGGCAACGGGCCCATGGCCACCCCGGGGCCCCTGAGGACGCGGCCAGACAACAGGAACGTGGTGGACGTCCTGGCGGACCACGCTGGAGAGCTAGTGCGGACCGACAGCCCCAACTTCCTCTGCTCCGTGCTGCCGTCGCACTGGCGGTGCAACAAGACGCTTCCCGTGGCTTTCAAGGCAAGATTGGTGGTTTCTAAATAACTAACTATTCCTCATTTTAATAATGCACAGAGTTACTTTCCTACTGTAATGACAGAGATGGTCTGATCTGTGCACGGGAATTTAACTGCTGGTGTTTTATAAATTTACACTGAACTTTATTCGAGCTAAAATTTAATTATTAAGACGCAGTAAGACATTCAGAGGCATTGCAATTTGGAGCTAGAATTTGAAGTCGGAAATGTGAAACCAAGATGCAGTAAAGCTTCGTTTTTATCCATTTTTGCATAATTTTATTCACAGTTTTCTAAAAATATATTATCCAAATGATGAGACATCGGGGGAAAAAATAGCCGGATAGAGATAGAATGGCCACCATGCAAATCAAGATGTTGACATAAACATTTAACTGGATGTCAGCGGTAGATTCATACTGCTGTGTGTTATTGGTAAATCTCTCTCCTGCATGCTACACGTTTAATACAATTTGCATTACTAACATTGTGGGGAAAACTAAAAGAAATTTGGAGTTAATTATAGGACAACCGGATGTGGTTTCTACGCGAAGTCCAACGGAGATTTTCTTATTATTATTAATATTTTTGGCGACCCGCAGTGACCACCTGCTTTTCCTCCCGTGCGCAGGTCGTCGCGCTCGGCGACGTTCCCGACGGGACACTGGTCACTGTCATGGCCGGGAATGATGAGAATTACTCGGCCGAGCTGCGGAACGCCTCCGCGGTGATGAAGAACCAAGTGGCCCGTTTCAACGACCTCCGCTTCGTGGGCAGGAGCGGACGAGGTGAGTCAAAACTATGAAACTCTCTCTCCCTCTCTCTCTCTCTCTCACACACACGCAAACGCGCGCGGTCTCACAGATGCTTTCAGGGCCTTCTTGCAAACAATTAGACGATGACAATGTTTCTACCCAGGAAACTAATAGATCGCAATCTTATTTCCGTGTTTGTGTACACTCATTCCTTCAGCATATAAGGAAATCTTTATCAGCATTTTCATTTTAAAAAGTCAAAACATTTACGTTAGTTTTATGAGTCATTCTGGCGTGGATAATTTCACTCTGTCCATTCTTATTATCAAATATCACGGCCTTGAAGCGCGGATGCAACTTATCTGTATATTCCAAATCTAAGAGAGCACAAATTATCATCCATCCTTTCTAGGTGGAAAGATGAGCGCACACATTATTATTTTTTTTTTTACCAGCTGATTCCACTCTTTAAGTCCGGTTTTATCATCCGCGTTGGGTTTAATTTTTGTGCAGAAAGTCACACATCAAGGCCCGAGTGCAGGATGTTGCGGTTAAAGCGCAGGCCTGCTGACTGTACTTTTTGTACCCTATCAAGCAAATCAAAACCTCTCAATGTTAAAGCATAAACAACCGATTGTCTCCACATAAAACATTATTCAAAAGTTTGAATGTCACCGAGTGGAAGAAGCATTTCTTTAATTATCAACGCATTTTTTTTTTTACTATTTACCCCACTCATCAAATATATATATATATATATATATATATATATATATATATATATATATATATATATATATATATAACAAGATTCATGTCTAATGGATAGGCTGCAAGCAAACCTGAATAATACAAATAAAATCAGTTACAGGGTATATATTTAATTTATGCAAAACAAAACAAAAAAACTTTCTGCTCTCCTCTCACGCTCTCTTGTTTTTAAGATAAGGAGTCCCCCCCCCTTCCTCCCAGACACACACACACACACACACACCACAGGCGTCACACACTGCCTTCCTCTTCTTGCACAGACTCTAGTGCAGGGCCGCATCCAGAAATATGTGAATGTGAGAAAGATGGTCACTTCTAATCTCTGGATGGCACAAATACCTCGGAAGCCATAATATAATATTATTATGCTGTGGTATTCAAAACGGATTACTACACATGACAGAAAACACTGTTAAGTAAATAAATAAAAAGTCTTGCGAGTAAACCAAGTTCTCCTTCTCTCTTACATTTCTAAAAATATATATAAATTCTTTTACATGCATATAAGACACTCTGGTCAGAGTGGGAGGTAGAAGTTTCATGGAGGTAGTCCTTTCCCCTCCCGGGGCCCTCCTTTCATTCTGCTACTGCTTTGATTCAAATGCTGACAAGATTTAGCCAATAATATTCTATTGCTGTAAGCTCTTTGGGAGGAATCTGGAAGGCATTCTGACAGTAATCAAAATCATGTTTATGGCAAACCTGTCAACAATATGTTTTTTTTTTTTGTTTTTTTTTTTTCATTTTAGCAGGGAGAACTGATTTGAAGGTCTCAAAGAAAATATGCAATGACTTATTAATCCAATTTAATCAGGCTTCTAAAATCTAATCAGCTCAAACCAACCCTCCACCCCCCCCCCCAAAAAAAAGATAAACACAGATTCAAATCAAATTGTTTGATTTGATTTTCAAAATGAGGTATTGTCGAGCTTAGTGTAATTCTAACCGATTATGAGTGGTCCGTCATCATGAATGCAATGTGGTTTTGCTGCAGGAAAGAGCTTCACCCTGACCATCACAGTGTTCACCGGACCACCGCAGGTGGCCACCTATCACCGTGCCATCAAAGTCACCGTGGACGGACCCCGGGAACCGCGCAGTAAGTCCACGCACACAGACATCATCACACACATACCACAAATCTGGCATGCACTGCGGAGAGATGCGGCTGCTGCACAGCCATCCCATCAGAGCATGTGTGGGTGTCAGTATCTGTTCACAGTAAGAGAAACGCATGACTCATGTGCCGTTAGGAAAAAAAAAAAAAAGACAGAACAAGGCTGATACGTGTCCATGCGTAGGTGTGTAACTACTCACAAGTGCAGAAATCCAGTTTTTCACCAGAGTTGGTTTTGGGGTTAAGATAAAATTAAGGTTTTGGTTAAAAGGTGTGGTTAGGAATGGAGTCTCTGGAGAATGAAGGTAGAGCAGCTTATTGTTCTCAGTAGAATAGCAGTGCAGGTGTGTGTGTGTGAGGATCACCGTCAAGGTCCAGTCAGAGGAAACTGCAGCACATTAAGGCGAAAACCAAAGACCACTAAGAGGAGCTGAGCGTGACTCCAAGCCACAGGTGGCTCCGCTCCTCCTCGCCTTCCTCTCAGCGCTGGTCAGAGGGGTCCTACCTGCTGACCACATAAGTGGCTCGTTGATTTAATGCAGGGCAGGCCACGGGCACTTCCCACGGCGTTCTGAAGCTGTTGGCGCCCTTGCTTACCCACATGCAGCTGCGCTTCACATGTGGGGCAAAAGCAGCCAATACGGAGGGGATGGAGGAGCTTAATGTTAATCAGATGCATCCATTGCTTCAGGGGAGAACTGTACGTGCATAAATGTGTTGTACGGTTCAAAGTTAGACAAGACGGGCGTCTTTTTATGATGGCATCCATGAAGGGTGCGCGTTTAATGTGGCGCTAAAGGTTTCTCCGAACAAATGGACGCTGTGGTTTTGTGGAGGTGGATACTGGGACAGGGTGGATTTAACCCAGTCAAAACAGAGCGCAGCAGTGTCACATGAGAGGGGATATGAGCAGCACCACTCCTCAAGCCCCCCGTAGCCCCCCTCGCCATGCTGGATGCTATTTGCAGAGGTATAATACAGAGCACTGACTGCATAATAGACACTATGTGTGTGCATGGTTTCAATTTCTGCTGTAGAACAGAAAGAAAGAAGTTCTCTAAAGACGTGTGTGTCTGTGCATAAATGCGTTCTGATGTGCAGTCCCTGGTTTGAAATAACTGCGCGCATTAAAGTTGTCTCCCGTCTGTCTGTCGACACGTTTCGGCTCCGGCTCCGAGCTACTTTTACTCTGGCGCTCAGTGCTATAAAGTGACACTGTTTAATATAGGCCAGGAGGAATTTAAGGCTCCATTAAAAAACGCTTTTTCACCGAGTTGAATTCACAGAAGGAGCAAAAATAAACTTCTGCTGAAGCTGATTTAAATGAATATCATTTTCATATTTACAACAGAGAACCTCATGAGCTCAACCACCTGATAACGGAGGAAACATTAAAACCTCAATGGAAACAACACATCTAATCATCCCCGCATCATCATCAAAGTAATTTAAACAGCTGACAAAACAAGCAAATATAGCATATTAATATTGTCCATTATGTTGGGGCTGAATGAGCTTTCAGATCCGGGGCTCAGATGACATTTCGGCCCACTTTACTGCATTTGAGACTTTGTAGCCTTGAAATAGAAATTGCACGAGATGATATAAAGGAGCTCTCATATTTTAAACAAGGAACACATTCTCAGAGTCATGTTGCAGCAGAGTCGGAGAACAGGAACACTCGCTGCCTTTCAGATGTTATTAGGACCATAAAAATAATCAGATTCCTCTATAACCACAAGGAACCGACTTACATCGCTACTATTGAACAAAGCAGACAGGCACCATAAAACTACCAGGATTTTTATTTTTTTTATTATTATTAATTGCATCCTTTTGGGGACAGCTTTGTACTCCCAAGTAGCTTTGATTTCTGGTTTATGATGCCACACAAAGTGCCGTGCAGAAAGGCTGGGGCTTCTGCTCAGGCAGCAGGGCCGTCGTGCTCAGGGCTTTGGTAGGCTGTTTGTGCAGACAGGGCCCCTCTGCATTTGCATGGAAACCAGCCGAGCCGTGGCAGCGGAGCGAGCACCGAGGGGGAGGATGTTTTAATTAATGTTTGCTGATCCAGTTGGGAGAACCTGATGGACAAGACTGCAACGGTGGCTTGCCTGGGGCCATGAAACAAAGAATGACATGCCTTCTGAAAACACCTGAGCAGTAGGTTAGACACGCATACCGTCTGGGCACAGTTGTGTACACTAAAGTAGCTCCACATGCCCAGACACACACAGATACAAACACACAGAGACAAGTTCTGCCCCTGAACAGAAAGTATGCTCTGCTAAGTATTTTTGTCGTCTTTGCTGCCGATTTCCTCATCATGCATCCGGCATTCGTCATTATAACAGCTACCCCCCCCCCACACACACAGATGCACGCATGCGCACGCACTTCTTTAACTTTGTCACACACTATTATCATCCTTTGGCTGTGCTGAAACTGGAAACGGTGCTTATAACTGCCAATGACAGCAGCAAGGAATGACATGCAGCAAATGAACATGTGAGAAAAAAAAATATTAGAAATAATTTCTGTGTAAAGCAGATTCCAGGAGCTATATTGACTTCTGAAGTTTTTCTCACATTGCTTCAACATGACATCACCACTCACCTATTTACCGACAGGGGAAGAGTTGTTGACAGCTCTGCATCTACTGAGCTTAAGATATTTTGAACTTGTGAAATGATATTTAGAAATTGTATTCACAGCTTCTCTAGAGGGGTTGAGGATCTAATTTCAGAGGTAAAAAAAAAATTAAACTTGAGGATTTATAAAGTTCTGTACCCTGGTTTTTTTGCCAGTGGCTGAGACTGTTTGCTCTTCAGACTTTGGCAAAGCAGCTGTTAAATACAGATGTCTGTTTTCATGTAAGAAACATTTAAAAAATATATTTTGATCAGTAGTATTATTTTTAGCTTTCCTTGGCAAAGTTTCCTTTTGAAAAAGATTTCAGATCTCAATGGGACGGCAGATAAAATAAAAACAAAATTTAATATGTCAAAATAGATTGAATAGTTGATTTAGATAACATAAATTTTATTTTCCGCAAAACTAGTTTTTCCCTTTACCTACTTCTCATAATTGGCAATAAAAAATTGTTACCGATAGTATCGCGTTTTTATTAATAGCTTCCAACCCTTTTTATTTTCAGCAACATGTGAAAGAAACAAAAAAAATAAACAGTATTTACAGTCATATCTGAAAACTGACATTTTCTTATCAGCAGTGGCTGTTTCAATTCAGTGAGGTTGAAGTGGCAGCTTGTTTCATAGAAATGATCTCTCTGTACAGTGAGCTCAACACCTGCTTGCATCGAGATGAAGGCGAGATACATCGTAACCCCAAAGGGACCCCCGCCACCAAAAAAGCGCACGAGTACCACCACCGTGTTTTCTTGCTCCTATTTACTCGCTTGGGTGTGTTCGCTCAGCTCCTACAGGAGAACGATGGGCGTGGGGGAAGGACTCGGCGTGGTGGTGGGGGGGTGAGCATGCTCGAGTTGGCGGGTTGAGTCTATTTGCATTTGGCACACAGACTGTACAAAGTATGCAAATAGCCAAACAATGACATTTGCTGTGTTATTTTTCCTGTGATATTGCAGTCTCTCTGCAAAGTAAACAAAAAGACAGCATGCATGTTGATGCATTTGCGTGTGCGGGTGCTCAGGCTCATGCACCTGCCAGGTGCATCTCTTTAAAAAAAAAAAAAAAGAAGAAGAAGAAAAAAGGTAATCACCACCCCCTCTTAATATACAGCGCCACGCCCATGCTCCACAAATCACATGAAAGGGCTCACCCTCGGTCCCAATTGCGCTCAAAGGCAACTTTGATGTTTGAAAATGGAGATGAGAGTCTTTGAAAGAAAGGCCTACAGGTGTATCAGTGCCAGGGGAGGGGTGGGGGGAGACGGCAGGGTGTGAGACTCTGGGTGCTTTCCTCAACATCTATAATCTACAGGCACCAAAGCCAGGAGTCCTAATAATCAAATCCATCACCATCTAATTTCACATTCAGTCATTAAGACGGTCTGAATAAGTGCCGTTTCACACATGACAATAGAAGAGCAGCAGTTTTATTGTACTCTTAAAGTTGAGAGGTAAAAATTAACCTCTGCCGCGTCTTACGGTGACTAGAGGCTGTGGCATGCTTCCTCCCCTTCGGTCACTGCCGACAAATCATGCACAGTCTTAGCGATTAGATGTAGAGCAAATATTGGCCATATGATAAATCCGCTGGAATGCAGTGGTGCGTTTTTTTTTTTTTATATATACTTCAGGCTAAGACATTCACCACATTCTGAGGTTTTGAGGCTTGTGATGGGGCGCAGATGAGCGTCTCCCTGAAGGAGTAAAGCAGAATGTCAAGCCGCTGTTTATTTTTCTCCTATACTACAGATATGAAGGCAGACATGAGAGCATGTGTGTTATGATTAGAGTCATACCAATAAATTGCCCAGAGATCGGAATTTGACCATTTTTCCTTAATTGAATCCGACTGAAGATCAGCAGTGCAAATTCTGAAATAAAAAACAAAACAGATCTTTTAATTTAATTAAAGTCGGCCAAAGATTAGGGAATAATTTTGTAAAGTTATTTTATTTTTTGTTGTGCTTGAGCCTAAAATCTCTACAAAAACAATCACAAAAAAAAAAAAAAAATCTGGCACATTTTTTGATTTGACATAACCCTAAGAATAAGTTTATTTTTATAAAGTAGAGTCGGCCAAAACTGGTACGGAAATCGACATCGATTTGATTAGTGCATCAGTAATTCTGATGAATTTATTTATAGATAATTAAATTACACAGCAATATGGAAGCTTGTTAACTTCTCTTGCCACCTTAACCACATCTAGAAGCTTTGAGGCCAGCTCTCCGTATGACAAATTGTTACACACAGCTATGTTAATCCTCCTGTGGTTCTTACAACAAAAAAAAGAAAATAAGATGTACCATTGAGTCCTTTGGTGTCCTGTCGCTGC